TCATTAGGGATACGGCCTCTACTTCTCCCCTGCTCACCTGGAGGGGCCCCGTGTGGGGAGTGGTATTCTCACACTCCCATCTGGGTGTTAGTGTGTCCCCACTGGAGATACCTGTTCTTTAGTGACCTCACACTCCCATCCTCTGGGCAATGCAAGGGGGAGTGTCTCAGGCTGGAATGGTAACCTCCCAGGCCTCCTCCAAGAGCCTGGTGAGCCCAGCGCTCCTCATACCCTGAGTCTCAGTCTGTGACTTGCAGCATTTGTGTCTGCATTCCTACTTCAGACACGAGGGCTTCCTGAAGGGAACCCCAGCACCAGGGTCCAATAGGAAAGCAGAAGCTACCCTGTCACTTCAATCAACAGAGAAGTGTGACTAGGGATGACAGTGAGACTGCAGGAAGCAGCCTGCCCACCCCAGGGGGAAGGAGCCCCATCTGCTTGCCAGCCACTAGCTGGGAGAGTGGTAGGACAGGGACAGCCCTGTGTATGCAGAAACAAAGTAGCAGGACACAGTGGCAGCGACAGGCTCCACAGCTGACCGTCTACTGCTAGGGTCAGAGCCATCCACCATCAGGTCAGAGCAGTCTACCAACAGGGTCAAGGCGGTCTACCATCAGGTCAGTGTGGTCAACCATCAGGGTCACAGCTGTCTACCGTCAGGGTCATAGCAGTCTACCATCAGGGTCAGAGGGATCTACTATCAGGGTCAGAGGGGTCTACTGTCAGGGTCAGGGCAGTCTACAGTCAGGGTCAGGGTGGTCTAGTATCAGAGTTAGAGGGGTCTACAGTCAGGGTCAGAGAGGGTTCTATCGTCAGGGTCAGAGCAGTCTAAAGTCAGGGTCAGGGTGGTCTAGTATCAGGGGTAGAGGGGTCTATAGTCAAGGTCAGAGGGGTCTACTGTCAGGGTTAGAGCCGTCTACTGTCAGGGTCAGAGCCGTCTACCATCAGGGTCAGAACTGTCTACCATCAGGGTTAGAGCCATCTACCATCAGGATCAGAGCAGTCTACTGTCAGGGTCAGAGGGGTCTACTGTCAGGGTTAGAGCCATCTACTGTCAGGGTCAGAGCCGTCTACCATCAGGGTCAGAGCTGTCTACCATCAGGGTTAGAGCCATCTACCATCAGGATCAGAGCGGTCTACTGTCAGGGTCAGAGGTGTCTACTGTCAGGGTTAGAGCCATCTATCGTCAGGGTCAGAGCAGTCTACTGTCGGGGTCAGAGGGGTCTACTGTCAGGGTTAGAGCCATCTACCATCAGGGTCGGAGTGGTCTACTGTCGGGGTCAGAGGGGTCTACT